TTAATTAGAGGTGTTCATTGATTCGGATAAATCTAAATTAAATCGAAATCTGAATTAAACCATAATGTTGGTTGGATATTTTTTTAGTTCTGGTAAGAATCGAACCAAATCAATAAAATTTAATGACAATTGATTTGACCATCAAATTTTCAATTTTCTATCCGCAAACTCAACTCAAACCAACCATAATGAATATCATAAAAATTACGATCAAATATTTAACTTCAAGAAGAAAAAAGTGAAATGTTATATGTGGACAATTTATGTTATTTTAATTTATTATTAAAAAATTGTTAGTATATTGTGATAATTAAACATAGAGCTATCAAACACATTCATTATCATATTAACTCAAGTGATTTATTATAGATTCAAAAGCCTTTATGTTAGATATTTTTGAATCTATTAGAGAAAATTTATCAGTCTAATATTTACAATTGAACATTATTAATACTATATTTTATATATTATTATGAAAAATTAATTTATGTAAATAAGTTATTTTTTTCAAATATTTTTGTATTTTTATTTATCCGATCAATCTAATTCAAACTAACCCGCTATTTTTTAGTTTGGTTCGGTTTAAACTTTATTGATAAAATATTCAAATTCAATCCAAATCAATTTATATAATTTTAATTGATTTGAGTTTCAAATTCTCTCAAAACCGAAATAAACTGACCCGTAAACACTCTTAATCTTAATGATGACGCGAACACCCAATGATGAAGGATTAGAACATATTATATTATTTACTTAGTGATAAAGAAAAACTCAATGGTAAAATTGTATTTTTCTTAACCAAGTTGATTTCCTTTTTATACCAATTAGTACATTTGAGTGCATTCTTTCAAAATTAAAAGCATATGAGAGTACATATTCGAACAATACGTTAAAAGTAAATATAAAACACACAAGAAAGTAACAGATGGAGGGATTTAGGATTATATTTCCTACATAAATGGTAAATGTTTCAAAACAATATACGAATGAATGGAGAGTTTAAGGCAATTAATACCTTTACAAAACCTACTTATGCCAACTTTCAAAGTTGTCAATTTTAAAAAAATATTTTTAAGGGTATTTCTTAATGCTCCTTATATATTATTAGAACATTCAGTGAAAAAATAGTTATACTCTTAGAATTTCAGAGATGCGTCTTTGAACGCACTAAAATTTAACACACTTCTAAATCATATCCTAAATCAATAGAAAGAATTAATCGGAGATACATCTAAGTATATCTTACGTAGATGCATTTCTGGACGCACCAAAATTCAGTACAAATTTGAATCATGCCCAAACTTCACACGCAATTATTCCAAAGATACATCATCGTAAACCTTACGTAGATGCATCTTCGGACGATCTTTGTTCAAAAACGCGCAAGAAGCCTTTCACATTTCTGCCTTCTTCAAACCCTTTCATAACCCATTTCTCAAACTCTCTCAAATCCCATTTTCTCAAACTCTCTCAAACCACATTCAAGCAACATCAAACAACATCGAGCAACTTCAAACATCCAACTTCAAGCAACATCAAACAACAACAAGTAACTTCAAGCAAAACTTTGTAAGTTCTTTGTAAACTCTATTGAGTTTATGTATAAATGTGTAGAAGTTGATTTTTAGGTCATGAAATAGAAAGATTTTACATGTTTGATAGCTTATATCTATTGAGAAACGACTTAGTTAAGTAGTTTTTACGATCAATGCATTATTTGTTATGATTTGTGGGTCTGTATTCTGCCATTGGCGGTGGTGAAAGTAGCAGAAAAATTTGGAGATGCATCTCCAAAAACTTTTAACGTTTACCCAGAAACCGGAGATGCATCTTCGTAATCCATCAGTCTGCATTATTTGCTTTTTTGTACATAAGTGATTGTGTAACGCTTGTGATGTGTTCTATTTACAGGAGTTATGGCTGATAGACAATCCCGATTGAGATACAGCAGGATTGCACAACATGCATCTACTCGAAGGGAAAATAGTCAACTATCGCATACTCTTATTACCTCTAGCACGATTAATGTGGAGCCGTCGGGTTTTAGTCTCATGTATCTCCGCCTTCTTCTCCTTTTCCCGTAGCAGACAAGGGTCTCTTCCTCATACATCATTGACTTCATTTTCCCGTAGACGACTGAGTTCACCTATTTAGGCACCCAAGATAGCAAACGTACCAAAGGTACCTCATGCACTGAGACACTTTAGACATCACAGGCCCAAGAGACAACAGTGGCACCTGAGACATCTCAGGCTCAGGGGGCAGCAGAGGAACCTCGGAGTTTTAGAGGAGGCCCGTTAGACTTATCATTGTTGTCTCTTTACCCGAACCATGTTGCCGGACATATATGGGACAGAGAGGTAAAATTTAGTTGGAATCATTCATTTAAGAAGTTGTGTTTGTTGTAATATTAAATTAATGTTTGTTGGAATCATTCTTATTAAACTATGTATACAAGAACGTGATCCACTAAAACTCACCAACTATGGATAAAAAATTACTGGTCTGATTTAGCCTAATGATCGTGGTTTCGAGAAGCTTTGCAATTATCTAGGATGCGAGACTTATACAAGATCGATTATGTTACATTAACCAAGGTATGCTTAATGCATTTGAAGAGAGATGACATGCATAGACGCCACCATTTTAGCTACCAAATGGTGAGATGTCTATCACACTGAATGATGACTCGTGTTTGCTATATCTTTCGATTAAAAGGATACTTTTAGATCATGTGAAGGTTACTAAAGACGGGGCAGTGGAGTTGATGGTAGACTATCTAAGAGTTAACCCAGAGGTTTCCATGGGGGTTTGAGTTTGCCTAAAGGGCTCATGCTATATTTAGCTTCTTGCAGGTGTTTACATATGAGATACTGAGAGCACAGTAGGTTGTTGGTGATAACAAGCAAGTACGAAAGCATAGAGTGTATGTTACGGAAACATATATATTATATTTGGTGGGCACTGCCACTTTTGTGGCAAGAGTGTCACTTATGTGAATGTCATCTACCTACGATACTTCAACCACTTTGAACAGGTTCATGAGTACAAATGGAGGACCACTTGTTTGGTCTACTTGTAGTCTAAATTATCTGAAGACTATATGTAGAAGACGAAACAGATGACAGACAGCATCACACTACTGGCGATAAATAATAGAAATTTTATTATTTTTGTCTCATTAGCATTACATTATTGCAATGCCGCTTTTAACTAATGACTCATGTATTCCAACACTTTTCAGGCTTAAATCCTCCAACACTTCCCACGCATATCTAGTTTGTCATGTCTACCGACTTATTCTGAGGATAAGCCACGCGCTTCTGCATTTGCTCCGCTCAAAAAATTGGACGACAGAGCCATTCGAAATGTATATTGATCGCTTGGTAGTATATAGTATACATTTCTATTGTTACGTCGATTACCGTAAGATGACTCCCTTTGACGACATAGTCTTATACTTAAGATGGTTGGTTTGCGGGTTACGTTTAACGTTTTCTCATTTGCATGAGTGTGTCATGCGTCAGTTAAGCTACATGCAGTACATTCTCACAGATTCTTTTGTGTCTGCTCCTCCTACGGTGAAACGTAGAGATATGGATGTTATGTTTAATGATTATGTTAATCATCTGGTATCGAAGGAGGCACAGAATACCATAACTGAGAGCGACTAGAACTACGTAGACAATTACATTTGATGATTCTTCAATGTGTCACATCCTTATAAAGTGTATTATGCTCCATTAGATTCACCGAAACTAACTCATCAAAAGATACTAGATGAGAAACAGGTTAGGACAGATCATGTTGATGTATTGCCTAGATGTCGTCTGGATGACTCTGAAGCAATGGACATTTAGATGTCATGATGGCGAAGACTCATAAGGCATTGTCGTACAAGAAACAACGTATGAACGAGGCCGAGCCCATATCCATCATACAAAGGAGATGTACTTGTATTCTGAATTTATTTTGGAATGCATTTCATTTATCAACTTAATTGTAACTTCTAAATTGGATTTATGTACTCTTAATTTTGTTGCATTACGAAGATGTACCGGATGCATCAAGAGATACTTCTCCAAATTACATAGGAAGGTCCATAGGATGGATTAAGAAATTCCCTCATCCTAAAAGCACACTTCAATTAATGGGTCCATGTGTCAGAAAGTAAAATGGATTCTTTTATAGAATACAAGGGGGAGAAGCAACGCCCTTTATGATAGGGGGAATATTTGAAACTTCCGGAACGTAAACCTTGGATTTTTTAAAATCAGCCTCTAGTGTATATATCCCCCTAGAATCCAAAACCTGAGTTTTTTTTTTCTTTCAACTAAGTTAATATTTTAATTTGGAAGATCATAAGTGTATAGATGCATTCAAAAATATGTTCTCGTTTCTAATCCTTTGTCAAGTGCTTATCAGATACAAGAATTTGACACAAAGGTGGAGTAGAGGGCAAAAGCAAACTCTACATACAATCCGCTAATCGAAGACGAGAAACAAAAGGTAAGGCTGTCCTTTAACTAACAGCTTTGAGCTTCAAAATAATTTAAGTGAAAAAAAGCACAGGAAAATTTTTACAAGTTAGACCCTGTAGGAATACACATTCCCTAGCCACTCGTAGCACCATCTCCAACTAAAGCAAAGTGAAAATCCCACAATGGGGTGAACCGGGCCATAGAAAACATTTAAGTATACCTATACCTATACTTTCTATACAAAACCCAACCCAAAATCTTATGTACCGAATGACAATTGAATATAAAATCAACCTTCAAAACACCTAAAATTGCTCCGGTGTAAATATGTTTGAATCACTATTCAAGGCTATACTAATCACCTCCTCAACTGAACAGAAAAATGGACTAGGACAGACTCCCTCAGAAGGAGATATACAGCTTCACTATGCTTCTTTTTTCTACCACGAGAAAGCTTCAACTGCCACTGGACATTGTACTATCACATTGACTGGTCGAGATGAATCAAGCTTTCCTCTAGTTGTAGATTTTTATTGGTTTATCAAACGCATGACGATTCTGCAAAATTGAGAAATAATCATTATAGGGTTTTAAAATCCAGAGACATGGCCCAAAAGTGCGGAGTAAAACTCAATTACCAATTATTGAGGCCAATAATGGCTATCCTTTTTTTCTTTTAATCAAGAACAAAAGTTTTATATGGGAAAGAGATTCCAAGTTCATGTTAAAATTGTCTTGCATGGTAAGGAGAAGAACATTTGGGAGATATGATATATCACCAAAGTTCATGTCTGGATGTGTTTAAGTGGGTTTTTCCTCTTCCATTATTTAAGTACGCCTTACTTGTATGTAAAATATACCCACTAACTCATTGTCCACCACAGCATATATCCACTTCATGACAAGGCTCATATTATACCTCAAAGGAAGGAGGAAGGTTTCCTGATAATATTTTACCTGATTGGCTGTATATGATCTTCTTGGTGAATTGTCTGTGTGCTCCAGTCCAAGATATTGCTCCCATGCGCCGTATATGTCCCTTCTCTAAAAGACCAAAATAGTACAGAATATTACTAAATCTAGTAATAAAAAAAGCCCAGTCCTAATTTCATTAACAGATAGAAACAGAGCATAACTAAAAGGTGTAATTACAGCACAGAGAGAAATGACAATACCTGAAATCGACTGGAAATAATATCAGAATCTTGAAGGTACTCAGGACGACCAAGTGAAACAAAAGCAAACTTCCACTGCAGTAAACAGACAGAGAAGCAATACATAAATAATCATTATTGAAAACCTAAAAGCTTATTTGCAGTTGCCGGGAATATGAGATTGAAACAATTTTTCAGAGTCACTAGACATAAAAGTAATCATGCAGGCCTGATGTGTTGAGATTTATAACATTTAGTTTATAAAGACATCATTAGAATAAATCATGTATCTGCACATATAAATTATATATACATATGTCATAGAACCATATCATAAAGAAACCAGTTCAAACAGCATGAAACAAGCCTCAATGTCATACTTAAATAAGAATACCCAAGTTTAAAAATTCACTCGAGCTCAACTATTTTATGATGTGTTTCAAAATCAATTCACACTAAGGTCAGTTATATACTATACTAGTATATATTTGAAAAAGATTAAAATCTTAGTGGAGGCTGCTGCTCACATTGGTAAAGTTTGCTCTTTCCTGATTTGGAGCACGAATCTCACCTGTCTGTGTAGCTAGCCACTTTTCTGTGATTTTGATTTAAGACCTAAATCGTGAATTATTATATTATCTTTGTTTATATTATTAACATATCACTAGTTTTTTCAACAACAAAAAAAAATACATTTTTTAATCATATAGAATCTTACCAGCTAATAACAAGCCGGACAACTCGAAGAGCTTACAAATATTATACACGATTAACCAATATGGAATGGTTGTATTAGAATTGGAAACATAATGATAGGAGCAGATAACTCGATCACATTCAAAACATTTACCTTTAAAAACTCCTCATTTGGAACTTGTAGCTTCTTTTGCACCCGCAATTTGACTTCAGCTAATGACTCACCCTCACGGATAACCAAGAAGAACGGGTCTCCAAAGTTCTGAACATGCTGATATTACCAAAGAACCCCCCAATAGAAAATTTTAGAGGTAGTAACAAACTTCAATTTGTTGAAGAGGAATTTTACTTGACACGAAATTTGAGCACTTTATAAATAAATTATAAACATACAAGGCATTTAGTCTTACCATTTGATTTTGAGCAGTGTCTTTCAAAAAATGATAAACATGTATCATCCGATCATGAGGGCCAAGGTTTTTCTCGTCTTCTGGAATCTGCGGCGACAAAAAACTCATAAAACGTGTAGAAAGTATGACATCATACCATTGCAGACAAAATGGCATTGATGATAAACTAAAGACATTATTGGAAAAAAGAGACTGATGGGAGTATGAAAATTAAAATATTTAACAGATCAAATATTTAGTTGTAAGCCAAAGCATGTGCAATGAATCTAAGAATGCAATACACTCTGACATTTATAATAGTTTCTAGTTTAGTAAAAATAAGGAAGATCAAGTAATGGTTTCCCTGAAATTACAAAAGCACTAGCCAAATTTGGCCAAGCGCCACAAGCTGAAAACTAGGATATCCTGAAACAAAATTTGTATCCAGGAAAAGGATTCTAAATGCAATTATCATAGTAGAGTCCAAAGCATTAGAGAAACATGGAGGACAGTTTAGTTTTATAGCATATTACAGTTCAAGGGTTTCAAATGAATTGGTTAGAGAAATAATGCAGCTTTTATTATGAAAATGGTTTAATATGGTTGGGGCATCTGTCATTTCCAATATCTCTAGTCCATATTCTGATTGATATCAAATTGTCCCGAACACAAAACAATTTATTAAGCAGCATATATTTACCTCTTCTGCTCGTAATGTCCAATAATGATCATTAATATTCTCGATATTTTCATTGACATGGAAAATCTGCAATAGATGGGTCATACAATATCATGACAATTACCAAAAAACTGAAACATCTTCACAATCATTAGAGGTCTGTGGCTTTCAGGAACACCATATGAATCCACTTTTCACCTCATAGACAATGAACCATCAACTAACCAACTCTAGGAAATCGTGTTTACTGATAATGGCCCAATGTTAGTGTTTCAAAGCAAAATTCAAAATCTACATATTATCTTTACCTTATAGATCTTGTGATTAAACACTTCAAGCAATCTAAGTTCCGCATCAGGATATGATAAATCTACCTGTTTCAGAGGGAAAATAAATTAGTTAGAATTTTCCATTAATTCAGCAGTTACAAATGTTAAGCACAATAAAACAAAAATACAACCCTAAACAATATGGTTTTTTCATTAAAAGTATAGTTGTACCGGTATCAGAAACAAAAAGGAGTTCACAAATGTTAAGCGCAATAACACAAAAATACAACCCTACACAATATGGTTTTTTTCCATTAAATTGTATTGGTATCAGAAACAGAAAGGAGATCAAAAATGCTGGATGAAAAAAAATCCTCAGTCCAGAAAATAAAATATAAGCAAATACACATATCTAATGGTTTTATTAAGCTAATCAGCAAAAAGAGCTGTCTTATCTCATTGCATATCTGAAATATTGATCTCTTAAACCAAACCAGGAGCAACTGTAAAAGAAGCTGTATACATAATCCTATCATAAAACAAAAATATAGGCAACACTGCTCCCTAAGATAAGATCAATCTTTCCAACCCCAAAAAATAAAATAATAATGTAAACTACACTTTACCACAGGATTTTGTTTATTTTCTTACTATTTACTCTTGAAAAGGAACATAAGAATTTGATCCAACAAAAGAGGATGAGCTCAATCTACAGCAAAAATACCACAATTTTATTCCGTAGGTAGGTCACATCAGTGAAAAATTAAACAAGGCACTTTCAGTCTCAGAACTACACATAACATCCATATCAAGAGGAACCAGTGAACTTGAAGCTCTAAAGCAATGCATATCAAGAGGAACCATTGAACTTGAAGTTATAAAGCAAGCATCCTCACTTTTTAGGCACACATACCTGGTACCCAATACCCTGGAGTAAATACGCATTTGATATTTGTTAGTGCATACAGGATATGCACTGCACTGGAATTGCTTTTCTAAAAACAACAAATTGGGCACACCTTGTGTACAACTTGGCATTGTTAGGCTTTGTTTGGGAGTTTGGATGGGAAGGGAGGGGAGGGCTTTGATAGAAAAGGAAGGATTGAGTAAAAAACAGAGAGATTTAGGTGGAGAAGGGTTTGGTGATTTATTTTTCACAAAAGAAAATACCCCTAATTTAGGGAAACTAAAAAATTTTATTGGAGGAGTTTGGAGTGTTTTGAAGGGCTTAAATAAATTAGTCAAATATAGTGTGTTGTTGTAGTATTCCAAAAATTAAAAATATATTAATGGGAAACATTCTTTTATCATTCTATATAATATCATTCTTTCAAAAAAATGCTAAAAATTTCTCTATTTTTTTAAAAATCTTTCTCTGAAGCACTCTCTCCCCCTCCTCTCCTAACTCGTAAACAAAGCCTTAGGGTATAACTTGAGTACTTTAACAAAACAAAGTTATGGAATGGATTTTCTGGTTTTCTCTTTTGGTTTATGAGAGCAGAAGTTGTATCCAAATCATTTACCTTCCAAAGCATCAACTAGTGTTTTCTCCTAAGAAGTCAAAGCTAGATCGCCTATGGTATGATTATGAGATGTTCATTCCAATGATAAAGATGAACATTGTTTGTATTTCACTTTATAATTTAGCCTCCTACTCAGGGTGGGTAAAACAGTTTGATGTCAAAAATGCTTTCTTGCGCAGAGACTTATATGAAGATCCATCTAGGATTTGGTCTAACAAGTAACAAGTAAACAAAGTGTTAAAATTGAGGACTTAATATGAACTAAAACAGAACACACAAGGCTTGTTTGGAAAAGTTACAAAATCAATGGTGTCCCAGGCTACAAGCAAGGCCAAAGAGTTCTTTTCTTCAAAAACACCAAAGGAAAACTAAATGCAATTCTTGTTTATGTTGATGATCCAATTAAGACACAATTTCCAAAGGAGTTTTATTCGCAGGTTCCTTGGAAGACTAAAGTATTTTTTGGGGATTGAAATGGCCAACTAGTTTTTCATGAAAGAACGAAGCGCAGAGATCGACCGTTAATTTGTGAGATAAGGTTTATCAAGGAGAAATTACTATTGAATTTGTGTGTTATAATGATCCACTTGCTTATATTTACTAATTCTCAAAGAGGTTCTCGGTAAATATTTAGTAACATGTTTGGTGAAATATGACATGTAAGCTCTAGTTTGAAGTAGAGTGTCATCATTATTTGATGTAAATATTCCTTATCTGTGCAGAATCCCAGATGCGTGCTACTTAGGATTGAAATTAACAATCATATCAATTAGGTATTTACTGTAATCTCCGAAGTCAGCTATGGTCTGATTAGTTTAGACACAGAAATCTCAAACTCTAATAAAACATAATACAAGAAAAAAATACCCATCTAAGTATTAGATTACAGACGGACCCAGAAAGTGTGTCTCAATGTGTGAACAAAATCTGCCTGTGCCTACAAATCATGAGGTTTACTGCTTTACCTTAGATTTTAGATCATTAATTACATCTGCCACAGTACTATGCTTCGGTAATCTAATTATCATCACCTGAACAGACAAAAACTTGGTTAGAAGTATAAAAACTAAAAGTATAAGCAACCATGACAGTACTAACTTCATCCTTAGCATCATGATGGAAAGCAATCTTGAGTGTTTTTAGGCATTGCAACTCAGGCAGAGGAATATCCAATACTTCATAGTATAGAACATCAGTAGCCTAGGGGGAAAAAACAACAATAATTTAGCATATCTGAGGTCAAGGAAAATCCAAACCGGGTTATAAGTCCATTCAACACTATGCATGGATTCTAAAATGCAACTGCATCTTCTATTAAAAATATGCAACAATCAGTAACCTGATTGTAGTGAACCAGCATGTCAGACAAATGATCCACTCCTCGGTACTTGATAGGTTGTGGTTTAGGTTGTTGGGAGTAGCAATTATGAGATGTGAGTCTGATTTTAGAAGGATCATTCAAACCAAGATGTTGAGAGACTCTTTCTACAACATCATCATAAGTGTGAAGCTTTGACCTGGATGATGACAGAGCAGAAATGAAATGCCAGAGATAAGCTACGATTAACATAAAATGATTGAAAAAACTAAAGAATCATATGTTCAACAGAAACTCACAGCTCAAGACTGAACTCATCCTCCTTAGGCTTCTCCAAAAACCTAAAGCGAACAACCTGTACATCAAAGTAGTTAATTGAAATATTAGGCGATACAAAACTAGTACCAAAAATGCAAGATTATTTTCAGCGTATTTGATGTCTAATCATTGCAAGGAGATGTAGAATCAAATCACACACACGGAGCCATTAAAATTAAATACTGTTCATTATGAACCATAAGTAAAATGCAAGACGGTACCAGAAGGAGACATAGCTCTGCATATTCAATGCTAGTAGAAGCAGATTACTGTCGTTCTTAAATATAACTATAGTTCATCTGAAACTGGTAGTCCACTTCGATATACATCACAGTTAGGAAACCTAACGAAACAGTCATAAGAAATCCCCATTGGAAATATATGCATAGCAAACAAACTTCCACTGAATCATAAATTGGATAGGGGGTCTGAGCATGTTGAGATAGGCAAATTATGGAGATAAAGTTTAGCATTGAGTAACTAGCAAAAACTGGGAAAAGATGCCAAGTTTGGTTGATATGATTGCTAAAAGAACTAGGGTGGTTTTGGAATAACTAAATGAGTACTCCTGAAGTAGTAATCTAGATGGTTAAGACTATAATGGGTTGAGAGATGAAAACATCCTAAGAATTTTTTTTATTGGCTACTCTCCAACTCACAAGGGGCACAAGGATTTTGAGTTTTGACCCAAACCAAATAAAGTTTTTGTAATGGATATTGTTAAAGACCAGCCTTTATTTAGTGACATTCATCTTCAGGGGAAATTTTGAGGACGTCCTCCTTTTTTGAAAATATTATTGCTTATAAGTGATATAGTGTCGTCACAAGATTCTGAGACTTATATTGGTGCACCAAAATGTCCAAGATTCCATATTGAAATCCAATCCAATTGTGAATGTGGTCCCCACAGATTCCGGGGAGACAAACTTTAAATCAAAACCTTTATGAACAAGTTCTTGATCTCAATAATAATGAAGAACAACCTACAAAATGACCTATTTAAAGAAACACAAGGCAGGTTTAATAGCAGTCGTCTCACTGGGAAGGGAAAGGTCTTTTCCAAAAGGGAAATGAGGAACCCATCCTCAAGCCCAGCCATGAATCCGGACCAAGAGATAAGCCAACTCATCATCCAATCAGGAGTAAGTCCTCTCCTAATCCTACGAGTCATTGTGATTATCCTTCATATAGATGTCCCTATAGTGATTAGAAAAGGTATAAGATCATCTTGCACTAAACTTTCTGTGTATATATGTGCCCTGCTCAAATTTGTCTTCTTCATCTGTTGCATTTGACTCTTAGTTGTCTACAGAAGAAATTCTAAAAGTTCCAAAGTGGAAGGAAGGTGTTTTAAGAAGATGAAAGCTCTTGGGAAGAATAAAATTTGGAAGGTCATGACTTTACCTGCAAGGAAGAGTATGGTGGGCTGTAAACAGGTCTTCATTGTAAAATATAATTTAGATAACACAGTCAAAAGGAACAAGTCTTGCGAGGGTTTACTCAGACATACGGCATTGACTACTCTAGTTGTTAAGTTGATCATTGTTAGAGTTCTCTTTTCCTTGATGGTGAAATTAGATTGTCCTCTCAACCAACTTGAAGTGAAAAATGTCTCTCGATGGTAACTTGGAGGAAGAAGTATATATGAATAGTCCTCCACGCTTCAAAGATAAACTTGGTTCAATTATATGCAAATTACAAAAGTCTCTATATGGTCCTGAGGAATCTCCAAGAGCTCGGTTCAAAAAGTTCACTTGGTCGGTTAAACAGAAAGGGTAAGTGCAGGGACAATCAGATCATACATAATTATTCACAAAATTTCAGATTATACATTATTCACAAAAAATTTCAATGGTGGCAACATTACAGTTCTAATTGTATATGTGGATTATATTATTCTCACAGGAGATGACATAGTTGAGATGGAAAGATTGAAGAAAATTTTGACGAAAGAATTTGAGATCAAAGATTTAGGTGCACTTAAATATTGGCACAAAGGTTGCTCGCTCATAGAAAGAGATTGTAGTTTCTAAAAGAAAGTACTTCGTCAAACTCTTAGAGGAAACCAGAACGAGTTGATGTAGACCAGTAGATACCTCCATGGAACTAAATGCAAAACTCAGGGGGAAAAGGAGAGTCACTACCCTAATCATAAATTTTACTGACCAATGTACCTTTCTAACTCCATAATTCCTCTATTAATATAAAATTTCTCTAACTAAACAAATAACTAACTACCCTCTAAACAATTCTCCCTATTCTAACTCCCAACAAATAGAGATCACAGAAGTTTCCACACAATAATTACACTATTTATTGTGCATTGCACATGCTTCCAAAGCATGGAGAAAGAATTTGAGGAAACAATGTCTCAAAAGTTAAATATTAGAGAAAAGAGATTAAAGGCAATTTAACTAGTACTATACATACTTGACGGTTTTGCACATAATCAAAAAATGAATAAACATCCGGATAGCAATATTGATGTTCCTCGCCAGCTTGAAGGGACTTCTGGAAGCAAATAATATCACCATCCTCTAGCTGCTCAAAGCACAATCGTGAAAACAAAAATTACGACTTTAACTGAAAACATTGGCTGAGATAAATCAAAAGCCAAATAATAAACACCTCAAGCAAAAATAATATATATAAAACACTTAAAAGCACTCTCAAAACCACTGGAAACCCAATACACAGTAAGCTGCCGATAATTTATACCTGATTATCACGAAAAGTAGACTTCTTGTCAACAAGTTCACACATGATTTTAGGTTCAAATTTTATTTCCTGAATATGTACAGCAGAATGTAAGTAGTGTCGCACTTGTATCGATATTACCATCATGGAGGATAATTATAAACAAGATGCATATTGACTAACCTCATACAGATCAATTTCTTGATCTGGAGCAAATCCAGCCATTTCATTTAGTTTCGCCAATATATCTGCTGGCTTTCTGCTACCCATCACAAAAAGCCTCCCAACATACCTGAGGAAACAAAAGGAAATGAATTTTATTAATTAAATGTATTTCAATCCTTTCAGTGCTGCCAAATTGTTGCCATGACAGTACCATCCTGCTATGACATGGGGATACACCAGCCACCATAGGCTGCATCGCATATCATATCCAACATTCCTATGCCATAGGCCTCAACTTAATATTTATATTAAGGATTTTTAGCTGGCTGTCACAATCCATCAATGAAAGCATTGATCCTAATTGTAATTGGTAAAGTACGTACCGAAGCTTCTCGTTTGAAGGTTCATAAAGTTTAAAGAATAGCAACAACTCCTCTTTCAACTTCTCAGGAGGAGGAATAGGGTGAAAATCCTAATTCATTGTGCAAGGCATAAATAACAAATCTATGTCAGCGGTGACTCGGTTGGAAAAGGAAACAAAAATACTAATAGCAACTACCACAATATCAGAAAGATGAAATGACTGGAAAAAAAATTACCTGTCCCTTCTCTATTTCCAAGAATAACTTCAACTCTGCATTATTTGCCTTATTGGAAGCTTCTCTCAACTGACCAACCTACAATTATAAAAATGCCATGTCACGAGTCATGATTAGGAAGGTAACCATTCAATATACACGCACAAAAAATTGCGTACTCTCGCTCTCTTATTCATTTTTTTACTTACTGTTATTTAGATTTTACTGTGAAATTTATCAATTATTATTGAAACCTTTTATCACGTCATTTTCAATAAAATATTGGAAGAATGTGTATTCATCATTTTAGGAGTTTGAGGGCAGAATAAAATATTATGTGATAATATTAAAACATTTATGCTTAAGGACAGACTGGACAAATATATCGTTAAGCAGCAATCTTAGAATCCGGCTAGTAAGCGAGAATTGCACCCCGCTTATAAACACATGTTCACGCCCAGAACTATTGGGTTTGGTGGGTTACCCAATAGCAGAAACTTAATAGCAAGTGGTCTAACAAATCTTAGACAGACTTTGATACCATTTTAGAATTTGAATTGGGTTTTAACTCAAACTTACAAAACTAGCTTGTTAGGTGAGGATTGTCTCCACTTACAAACATATGTTCAAGCCATATCTCATTCGATGTGGGATTCTTACCAAACAAAATTTAAAGAAATTAATAGTAACGTGTTTGGATTGGCTGATGAACAACTCATTTGGGTTCATCTACTGATACAATCATTTGTTAAGGTATTTTGGAGTGCTTATGGAACAGCTTATGATATCCCCATAAGTTGTTTGGTTCTAGCTAATTTGAATAAGCTCTTTAGGATAGCTTATTAAAACAGTTTATTGCTTATATAAAAGTAGTTCAACCATGTTTTCCCTTTAACTATAGAAATAACTTATACACAAGAACTTGTGTGATAATGTGTCCTATAAAAGCTTTGTTAAGATGTTTATCCAAACAATTCCATTGTATACATAATAAAATGTTAATTTATCCAATTATTGTGGTATATGAAAGCTATCTGTTCTTTAGGGGTTTATAAGTAGCAAACCTGCAATTAGTAAAATAACTAGAGGAATAAAAATGACTTGATGGTACAACGAATAAATCTAAAATGAAATTAATGGAAGTATTAGGAGAATAAGGAAAAGCTTGAAGATTATAAATAGTACAAGGGAGATGGGAATCAAATCATACATGTATTTATGTTAGAAATGGGACCATAGGAAGTTAGAACAGAGATCTGCAATACGAAAATCAGGGAAAGTTTCCTCTGTTTTTCCCAACAAATTACCAGATCACTATTACGAACAACATGATCCAGTTACTATTATAAAGTGCCAGGGCTTCTTTGAAAGTCTAATACTAAATCTCAATAAATTACCAGGTCCCTATTATTATTTTACAATAAGCACAACATGACACAGATCTAGCGAATATTAGCAATGTATCTACAATTTGTTATTTATTAATAGACTTGTGGTTGTGGTCCAATTTTTGCTAGAAACTGCAAAAATATCATATTCATCAAAAAAAAATGACAACTATGTCTTCAAAACCACACACTACTAAGGCTAAGAATGAGGTTATCATAGCTAACATCAAACTCATTAAGACTTGACATCCACCCTGCTATTCATGAAACAAAACATTGGAAGTTCTTTGATCTACTTACTGACTGTGTTTCTTCCTGAGCTGTCACTGGCCTACTTGGCCGATAAGTATGGTTTTGACGTTTTGCCCACAGCCAAAAGCGTTGGTGCTCAACTGGTATGCCAAACTCTTTTGCAACTTCTTCCTGATCAACAATTCATTATTACAAAGATGAGAAATAATTTCAAATCATAATTAATTTTGTAGAACATCTAAAGCTAAATAGATCATTCAACAATACCACAGGATGAAGTAAACAACGAACGTGACACTATGATGTATAGTATTTATTCATAAAAGAAGGTTACGGCATTAAATCAATAGAAGCTTGTAGCTACTTAAGCTGCTGACAAGAACTGACTAGCCACATGTTTGGACACTTCAATCAAAAAGTCTAACTACAAACAATGTTCCTAAATATTATTATGATTTGATTAGACGTTTGGTCCTAAGAAGCAGAAAGCTGATAAAAGATTGCACACGAATAGTCTAATACATTTACTATACTATTGTAGAAGAGATATATCAGGAATCTAGATGTAAATGATGAGTGGAACAGCAGATTAGAAACAATTTAATGAATACAGACATTGCTTTTGAACTTGTGTCAAGTGCTATAAATAGATGGAAATGTGTCAAATTCCCAAAATTACAGGCAGTACTAATAGAAGGATTGAAAATCCTAAAGTAGATGGTAAAAAGCATGCCTGTCATAGCAGATCTATAAAACAAAATTAAGACAGTTGTTGCAAGAATCTAACAAAATATCAGCAAAATATAGAAGATCAAAAGAGATGCAGCAACGAAGAAAATTCTAACATGGTTCACCAAAACAAGGCTACTTCCATAGACAACTGAAGGCAAAAACTGCATGTGAATATGGATGCAGCAACAAAGACAACAGAGAATTCAGGTTCCAGTTCAGAGCTCTTATCCTTTGCATAGATTTTGGTTTATTTCCCCCATGTTTTTTGTACTTCTTTTCTCTATTTTTAAAAAATTAAGGTTGCGCTAAAATTGATTGATAGGCTTTCAGGTGCCAATATAGTTGAAATTTATCTACTTTACAGCGATGCCTTTGCACTTCATTTTTGCTTTAGATAAAAAAAAAAGTATGATGGCTCTAGTATGTTGTTTTGTGCTAGTATTGCTCATAATCCTATTCAAGATGATTGTACAAAACATAACACAATGAGATAGACAGATAGTTCATCAAGGAAAACTGGATTGGATGGCGGATTTATAATAAAATGGCCTACATCCCTTCTGAGCACCAATTAGCAGGGTGTTAAAATTAAGGACTTCCAACAAATGGTATTAGGATATAAAATAAAGGAGAATTGGAGTGGTTAAAGTTGTTAGAAAAATTAGTTAGTTTGGTATGTGGTTGCTTAGCCTTTTAGCAAGTCTATAAATAGCCCTCAATTGGTAGAAGGGGTATCTTAATAATTGAGTTTCCCGTTCTAGCTTAATACAGATTTCTGTTTTCTTTCTCTTCATTTCCTTTTATACCAATTGATCCTTGTTCAGTGAGGATTTTCCAGCTCAAAGGGAGAACCCTAACAGATGGATTGAACCAACTTACTAACAAACTAGGAATGATAGATATTCACTCACTGACTTGAAGGAGAATCTTGTTAATACGTAATTATTAATGTAGGTGTGTATTCTGTAATTATTAGCATTTGTGATATGGCCGGATAACCAGGCCCATTAGTTGGAATTTGGTTTATATATTTTGTCCAATGAGAGTAAATAAAGGCGTAAGATGGTGAAACCATGTTTGAACCTTATAATAAAACTCTTTATATAGGCTGCTCAATGCGTTAAATACAAAAATAAATGTACGAGATACTGTTCATATTTACATTATAAAATATGCCGATAAGATAAACTATACAATAATTAAGAAGATCCAAAGCATATCATATTTCTATATAATCAAACAAATTAAAGATTGTACACAATTACATAATAAAACCATAGGTCATACCTTGAAAATTACAAAGGGTGTCTGTTTTTGAATGCGAAAACTTCGCACTTTATCATGGTCCACAAGATCGAAGAACATATCCTTTCCGATTTGTTCATGTAGATCATCGTCACGGGCAATCTGGGGCCAACAGATGAATAAAATAATAGCAATCGTCACCTTACCAACTCTTATCAATACCATATAAAGCACCAAAAGGAATAAACAATAATGATAAAGAGAAAGAGAGAGCTCGAGTTGTAACCTTTACGATGGTATACAAATGAGCCTCAGCCTTCTCCTTCTTCTTCTTCTCCTTTTCCTCCTGTTCTTTCTTTAATCTTATCTAAAATATATTGTTGAAACAGATACATTTTATGTTGAAAAGAGATGCAAAATAAAAATCATATGAAATCGGAGAATTGCAGCTTACTTGAAGGTGTTTGGCAATGTCCTTTTCATCCACATTACAAATTATCTTATCCTTGTCACTTTCACGTACATAGACAAGCATATATGCATTTGAGTACTTTGTAAATTTAAAAGGAGAGTTGTTGAAACCGGGATTTGTATGAGGTAACTGCAAAAACAAAAAATAAAGCAAATAGAAACAAGCGTGAATATGTCTAAAAAAAACAAAATAGACAAAACAGCAAATACCAAAAACAAAATATTATAGACAAGCCAAACAAATGCAAAAACAGAATATTACCTCTTCTTCACCACCATACTGCTCTTCTAAAGCCCTGTTTGTATCTTCTTTTGTTACTCGTTCGTCGTCAAATTTAAACCTGAAACAAGCAATTCACATTTTCTTTTCAAATTTAAAACCAGGAATAAAAAAACCCTAAACAAGGATAGTGATTTGCATTACAGCACTAAATACAAAAACCATAAACAAAAATGATGAAACTTTGGCCACCTAATCCAGATAACGAACAGTTTTTCGCAATATTATTTCAAGTAGCAGTAGAAGAGAATATGAAACTGAGAACTAAGTCAATTTGATAAGAGTAAAACCAGACATTTTAAAATGAATATCAACAATGTAGTTAACTAGGCAGTATAGCGACGTGATAACGGCGTAGCGGAATTTGGACAAACTGCTATTGTTCCGATATATGCTACTTTGTAAAAATAATCTCATGAAAAAATAAAATAAAAAAGTGTGCAGCAGTTATAATCTCAAACATATAGGTTTCATAAAAAAAATAAAGTGCAAAACAGTTATAAAATATGATGAATACAATAAAAGATATCAATATTCAAAAGATTCAGAAAACCGGTACATACCACTGATTTGAAAGAGTCGGACGTATGTATGCATAGTAGTGACCACCATGAACTCCACCACTATGAACCAAAACACTGCAAAATAATTCAGACAAGGTCCGCACATAGATTCAAAACTCAACGAAAAGCTATCAGTTACTGCAAGATATTGTAAAGAATTTAAATAACCACTCATTATACTGATATCCTATAATAAGTAGATTCAGTTTTGGTCATCAACAAATAGGCCAATTATAAAGTTATCCAATGCAAAATTCAAGCAAGTGGCCACCGAACCTCAAGCTTCAATTAGTGTCAGCAAAGTCCAACAGGCACTCTCAACCTTCCACACCCAAGTATTTCTCATTCCGTCACTACAAATATATTTCATGACTTGTCACAGATGACTAATATATACAATCTTAATTTATTTTCCATTACTTCATGAGCACATTGTGCTTGGCTATTCCTTATTTCCTTACGCTACCTTTGGATTGATGGAATGGGTTGAAGTACTACCATAGAATCCATGATAGAGTCAGTCAGTCTAATTAAGAACCAACTATCCCAAAACTAATGTTCTGGATGAAGATGCATGAAGGCTTAGATCTCTTTGATACACCCCCTCACTTGAACCTTTTAGGCTAAGAGCACAAACAATGTACTAACCAATTTTCACTGTGCTGAAGTTCAAGGTTAATTTAGAAGAATGGAGGAAGCAACTATTGAAACCCAAATAAAATTGTCATGGAGACTCCAATACCAGGTAAGGAACCAACTATCCTAAAAGATTATGCCATCAAGCAAGTGTACAAGAATGGTTTTTATCACATCCCGAAAGTCAACAAATCCATTAATTAATATGCTGTCAGTGTAGGAGTAATCTATATAGACCATGTCAAAAGTCAAGTCATGCAGATGCCAACAATGATGATGAAAGACCATTATTCTTAAGACTATGGGATGTAGGGTTGAGTCGGTGTTGTCAAATATGGGACATTGCAACGCTGTGGCAAATATTGGTGGCGGGTTTTTAGCTCTGTCATCGATAACACTGGGCTGAGTTAGGTATAATACATATTCTAAGATGGTATCAAATCTTGTCCTAGAGGTCCATGGACCGTGAGCCCGCGCTCTGATACCATGTTAGTTAGAATTCTATATTCATAGATGTTGAGAGAGAAATCTCAACTGAGTTTCTCTACTTTTCTGTTTTTGCAATAACTGATTGTGAATTACAAGGAGTGTGGTCTATTTAAAGACTCACAAGACTAACTAAATCTGTTAGTTTGTTTCCTAGATTTTAGGGATTAGTTAGGCTTAGTGCACAGTAGTTACAGTAGTACCAGGGTTCTAGAACTTACTAAAGTCAGTTCCTTTAATAGGATTAGTTAGACAGTATGTCTATAAATAGGAGAACAAAAAGGTTAGAGAATATATTTCGAATATTGTAATTGTGAATAATAGAGTATTCTCTATTGTGAAGGGGAAATCCTTAAGGAGAGATTGTAATAAAACTGTTATTTCTTTGGAATCCAATTCTTGAGTTCCCAACAATTGGTCCAACCAATCGCTGTGATGCCAAGCGCAATGAAAAATTGTATGATCTCTATAAAGAAATTTCTGGACAAACAGAGCCAGGTTTTACAGAAGATGCATGCAAATCTTAGCAAAATTCCTGACGTGGATCAAATCAAGACCTTGATTTTGGAGATCCAAAATGGCAAGAAAATTCAAGACCACATGCGTCTTCATTCATTGAGGAAAGCACTTTGACCAACAGCTTATGGGGAGACAATGAAGAGGACAAAGACGCACCACCATGTTCTTGGATCAAGAAGGTGGAGACACCGGAGAAGAAATAAGAAAAGGGCATTGAAACTGAAACAGAGGTGTTGACGACAAGAGGTGCAGAGTTGAAGACAACGGCAAGGAGAAGGTGAGTCGTGTGTAAGTGAGTCAGACCGCCGCCGCCATCAAAACCGCGTGATGTTGATTTGCGCATGAAGGAGAATGGGATGCATGTGGCGGCCGATCTACGGACTTGATGGCATGTGATGTGCTGGTCTTTAAAATCAAAAAATGAACTCGAACTCTACTATGAACTAATCATTTGATTTAGGCAATACTGTTTTAAATAGGTTCGAAAATAAGAGGAGACAAAAAGAGTAGGATAGGAATGTTTTGAATTTCACTCATTATTACTAGCAAGGTTGTTAAGATCAAGATCTTACCTAAGATCAGGAGAGAATAGCAAAATCATAAAATATAAAATCGTAGTTAAGATCGGAAGATCCTACTCAATTACTTTTGTAAGATCGGAAAATCCTACTCAATTACTTTTGTAAGATCGGAAGGGGGTAACAAGATCGCAAAACATAAGATCGCAATAAAAATCGTAAGATCCTACTAAAATGAAAAATTAAAAATACATATTTGAAGTATTTTTACATGATATATGTAAGTAGACAAGTGTATTCATGAGAAAATGACTCTTTTTCATATTCTTTAGACATTTATGATTGAAATTTTATTGAACATTTGTTAATGTTAAGACATTACGAACATATATGGTCAATTACTAGGATTATCATAAGTCAAAAATAGTTAAAACAAACCCTACAAATGAGAAGTTCATTCTCTAAACCCTAAATCTCAAACTTCATTTCAAAAGGCGCAAATGTATCCCCGTCGAACCGTAATTGTTGTGCCTCTGCGTCTTGTCATCCTTCTCACCTTTTAATGGTGGTGGTAGGAAAACGGCCAATCATGGCCGAAGATGGCAAAGATCGCACAAAATCAATTATTTTACAGGATTTTCTCACAATTTGACTACAACACGCGATTCTACTTAAGATCCGGATCGTTGAGGGTGAGTGAGATCGTAAAATATTAAGATTTTAAGATCTAGATCGAGATCTTGAAAACCATGATTACTAGGTAGAGAGTGCATAACCACTTTCAGCATTCTTTCTTCTTCAAGGACAGAACTTTCACCGCCTATCCACATTTATATTGTGCTAATTGAGTATGAACTCGCTTTCCATTCTAATTGTCTACCTACCCATTTTCCCCCAATTCAAACAAGCATTAAAAAGAAAAATGTTAGCATAGATACACAAAAGACTCATCAACTCAGACAAAACAAAGGATATACCCTTATATTTAAGATCTACCAGGTGAATTTTCCAATACCTGTGAAGTGTATACAGGTTGCGAATACTTCTATCTGCTTCAGGAGATTGATATTTTCTATCATCCCTATCAAGATCTAGTTGCAAGGGGAACTCATAGCGGTCATTGATCTGTTTGAAATCAAGTTAATGGCCATTACAGTTATAGGTATCAAAGAGTAAAAGATTATTAACACATTACTAAACTAAAAATAAAATATAAAAAATCATTCATTTTATTCACATCTAATGGCACAACAATAACCAAAGAAATACAGAAATAAAACAACAACTACATAGTTTCTATTAATTGATATTTGATACTCGAAAATTTAAACAAATAACCCGACAATGGTTCCAGAACTAAGGTGGAGGGAAAAGCCCCAAAGTAGGAAAATAAGTTTAGTGAGTAACAAATATTAGTCAAAATAACAGAACCTCGAAACGGATATTCACTATTGGAACTTTAAAGAATTGATGCAAATCATGGGTTAAATAACATGCGAACTGATAAAGACTGCATTACTACCAGCAGGAAAAAAAAGAATAAAAGGATAACTATAACTCGCAAATGAGGAGAACCAAAACATAATTGGTGAGTGAAGACTTCCTTTCCTATTGCACTAAAATTTAAATACTGAGAAAAAATCAAAACATACAAAGGTGAAAGGATTTTGCTGATTCTTGAATTTAATACCAACCTTAACCATAGTGTCTCGCACAAAATCATACTCGAACCGTTTTAACTGAAGCTGGAGAACAGGTGGAAAATCAATGAACAATACACCCTTCTTTGCTTCCTAGAAGTGTAATCACAAACATGATGTTACAAAAACCATTCTAAAATATGAAAAAAAAAGTAGGTAATGAAGTTTAACCGAACGACCAAAAGAATGCATGGTTATAGATTTTACCTGTAAACCATACTGCTCTGCGTGATACTTGTTATCACCCTCAAGTTTTTCCACTTCCACATACTTATCGAATGAAGCATACACATCGGTACAGCCTTTGACGTCCAGCTGAAGATCTACAATCAAATAGTCAAAATTCAAAAGGTCCCAGAATAGAAGGGTTGAGGTGAAATAATAGCATCCTAAGCAAAAAAATACCTACCGTAAAATGACTCTTTTCGTGTTGATTTATAATCCACATTGATGCATTCAATATAGTTCATATGGTGGCCTTCAAACAACTGTTGTATAGTGCCTTCAACAACAGTTCCCTGGGAAGTGGAAGACTCAATAAATAATCTTCCAGACATAATACACAAGCATCTAATTTATTTACCTACAAAATAACTATAAGAAGCTACCAATACCATTAAAAAAACCTTTACCTTCATTTTATCTTCTAGCTTTTCACAAAGAACCCTATTAAGTTCTTGGACATCATGCTGCATGAATGAATCATATGTATCCCATCCAAAAGACTTTGTTAACTCTTTTGTTGATACACTGCTGTCATTATACTGCAACTTGTAAAACAAACTCTGTAATGCCAGAGGGATGCTCCCAGATGGCATATCATTTTCTGTTGTGGGCATATGGTACACAGCCTGGACAAACAATTTTAATTATAAAGGCACATCCTTCTTTGGAAAAAAAAAACATTAAAAACTTATATGCCGCAGACTAACCTTTCTGAAATAAGGAATGTGATACAATGTCTGAAGAAGAGAATTCATGTAACAAGTAGCTCCTTGGTTTTTCAAACCAACACAACCAGTTTCTTTTTTTGAGTCATGTGCCCAGTAATCAAGATCTTTGCGCACATTCACATCAGCCTCAAGTATACACCTGTCGTCCACGATATAGCCCCTAGCAGGATCATACAACTCAGAAAGAGGCATGAAATTAGTGAAACCCCAATCACTCTCACGTGCATTGAACTGGTGCTGTGTTTCTGCAATATTAAAAAGCTCAAGATTATTATTCTCTATAAAAATATAGGAGAGGGACACTTATAAGCATAAGTTTGGACCATATATTGTTCGATGTGGAACTCTAAACAGACATGAAGCATAGGTAACAAATATTTATAGTCATCCTAACTACCATATCCAAAACCCACAAGTCTTAATCAAAACACTCAACCTAGCATCAAAATGTCTAAATCAAAACATTATATGAGCAAAAAATTATAGATGATGATGCCCTGAGACAAAAAAAAAACAAAAGAAAAAGAAACAGAATAAAAAGTAGGAATAAGATTAACAAATAATAAGAGCCAAAATATTTTTAAAAAAAAGTGACTGCAAACCAATGGAACACACCCAAGATTTATGATATTATTATCTTCATTGTTTCAAACAAAAATCAGCAAAACAGGTTCTGGTGCTAAATGCTAAGACAAAAGATGATACAAGACAACAATGGGTTCTTATTGAATAGTGAGTATAAGGAGTATTTCAAGTTAAAGGTTACTTCCGTTATTGCTGTCTCATCCTCAATTCTCCAATCTGGTAATTCCTCAAGTTGTTTTTCTCAATCATTGTCTTTTGGATCTTAGATTTGGATCCGAGTATTTTAGATCATATTGCATGTAATCCTCCCCTTTTCTTGAACTTATCACCAACAAAAACTCATTATTTCATAACCATCGTAAAAGGTTTGAAAGTTAAAGTCGTTTGAAAGTTAAAGTCATTAGCATTGGCCAAACATCTCCATGTCCTTCCTTCAATTTGAACTTTGTCCGCAATCCTAGCAACTTTTTTAATTAAGTAGTAGAAAATGGATTAACTCGTAGAATCCCTCAAATTCTTTATATACACGATCCTGGTAAGGTATATTTTATTGATAACCATTGGTCTCCAAGTCTTTCTCACAATCACTTTGACATCCAAATTTAAAGAAATTAAGGAAAATGGTTAGAAATCATATGTGGAGAACCTAGTCATGCTAGTTCAATTAGAGGTTTTTATTAGTTCGAAGCTTTGATCAATCACTTCTCAAGATGAACGTGGATCATTTCATGGAAGAATGGTTTGAATTGTTTGGATATTATAAGAAATTTTATGACATAAATTTCTCGATTTGGTTGCTCAATTTACATTTCAAGAGATAACAATGCCAAGGATTCCCAACCTCATTCAAGTCCTCCTCTAAGGTAGGATTCATCGGTCTAGATGTTTGTACACACTACAACATTTAGTATATTGCAAAAAATAAAATAAAAAACATGTGGTGTTCTTGATACTACTATTACATTACTACTTCAAGCTAATATCCCTTAAAAATAATGTGTAGTTGTTGTTCTTACAAGTATGGTAATTGGTCAACAATACACATCATCTTCTACATTGAAATATCAAATTCCTCACTCCATTGTGTTTCCTTCTGAGTCACCATATAAAACTCCTCCCTATTTTGGTTGAAATTTATTTAGTTCATGATCTTTCTTAGAAAAAAAGACATTCAGTGTTTGTGCAATCAAATAAATGCTTGACTTGCAAAGCTTTTAAAAGTGTTGTAATTGTGTCATTTATAGTCTAGACTTGCAATATAACTGTGTTAGGAAAAGAATTGGCATCCCGCCAATTACAATCTAAACACTTGACTCAAATAACATATAACAGCGACAACCTAAACTTACCCCCACTAGGTGGGGTTGGCTTCATAGATCAAACGATGTCATAATGTTCTATCGTAAATCATATATATAGTTATTTCAAAAAAAAAATCATATATATAGTGAATCAGTGATATAGTCAAGTCATTGACCTATTAGTGTGTGTGAGTGTGTTTGGTTCTGCTGTGGCAAATATGTACTTAGACTGAATTGACTTTAATGAAAGTGCGATGAACTTAAAGTGATTTATATTTATATATTTGGATACATTTAATAAAAAAGGGAGTTTTATCCATTAATGTTTGGATCGCAATTACTCAATAATTTCCAATGTAATTTTTCTAATTTCCCCACCTCGATCGAATAGGATACCCTCGATAGGATCTACTATGTTTACTACATAACCAATTGGTCTTCTCCACACATGCCCAAACCACATAAGTCAAAATTCAACTATCTTTTCTACAATAAGTGTTACCCCGACTTACTCTAATCTTATTTCATTTAGTATTTTAACTCTAAATAACCTAGTGCCATAATAAATCAATTTCAAAAGAAAAATGCCAGTCAAAGCAATACTTTTAGACACCAAAGTGCCAAGACTCCCTCCCCCTTCATTGTGTGGTGGTCTGCAACACATTTCCCCTTAAATTTTCAGTGTCTACAAAGTTACAAAAAACCTATTGAATATTTAACAACACACAAGAGAGTGGATTCATTTCTAATGCCACTTAAATACAACATAACAAAGAGAGAAGTAGGTCTCAACGAACATCAGTAGCAGAAAAATTACCTTTTCTGATGGTATATTTACTGTGAACCTGATTAACCACAGATAAGCTGAACTGTGCAAATCTAGTCCAACCATAAGGCATTGAAACTGAATCTGCAACATCTATATACATTGACAGATGTTCAGCATTGTTCCCCTTCGGAAAGATCAGTATCCGCCTGCTCGTTTCGATCAACATCAGTTAAAACAAAATATTTTTAGCACTAGTGATACACATAAATATTGAAGATTACACACTGATTTACAGGACCGGAAATGGACAGACATACCATTTATAGCCCCCAACAGTGAAAACATCAGAATAATGTTTCTTCTGAAGCCTTGAAAAATGGTCAATAGCCCAGGTGAATCTCCCAGATGGCGGATCTTCTACTGCCATAGCATCCACTGTAGTTGTGTTTTCTGCAGTAGTGTTTTCAGCTTGGACCACTGTAAAATACAAAAAGGACCAAAATAAAAGCACAATAAAAATAAGTCACCATGGCAGAGTTACATGTCAACAGTTAAGAAAAAGGAACCAAGGTTGCATCCTATGAAAAGCACGGAAACCCCGAACACAACCACAGCACTAATCCAGCGACACCGGTGATAATTTGAAAAAATTAATAAACTAAATGTAATCAAAGTGTGTGCAGGTGTCTGATGCCGACACTGACACTGACACGCCTTTTTCAGAGATGTAAGTGCTACATAGGTCGCATCGATTTCAATAAAAACACATTAAAACTATCAAAACCACTACGAATTCACTTGAATTAAATTAACCATCCATCCACTGAGCTATACAAAAACAAAAGCATAACAATGAATTTAAAACAAAAGCATTCTAAACACTCATCCGGTAACTTCGCGGACAACAAGCATTGCATTAGTTCGAAAAATAAAACTGAAAAAGCAAATTACCTTCCATGGGTTGGGGACCTTCAACAACAACCTCTTCGGAGTGAGGAACCAGCATCTCAGAGTCCCCATCCAGATTCTGCTGCTGCACAAAACATACACAACAATCAGATCCGATAATCTAAAACCCTAGTAATCATCCAACATAAAAACACCAACCACAAAACAAAGATCGCGAGATTAAAATGTGAAAACTACGAAATGTGAAAATCAATTCAGAAATCGAAATTGAAGCATAAACGGAACGAAGAGAAGCGCGATGATGGAATTGCGATTACATCTAATGGCGGAGTTGTCGTCATGTTCATCGACGAGGCGGGTGTGAGTGAAGGATGTTGCGGCGATTGAAGAATTGAAGAAAGAGAGTGATCGAGAGAAAACAAGGTTAGAGAACGAATCGAATCGCGGGAGGTGAATGTAGAGAGTGAAGAGAAGAAGTGAAGAATGCGAAGAAATCGTAGCCGAAGATGGTTTTGGTGTGTAAAAGAGGGGCTGCTTCAGCTTCAGTTTAGTACGGAAAAGGACACTGCGGGTATTTCGAAAAAATATTGGGCATTCATTTTTTTTTTTCAATAAAAATAAAACATGGTTTACGTTTTTTTTTCCTTAATGTTGATTAATGGTTATTATGTCTAGAAGATCGGTTAGGTCAAATTTTATATTTCTTTTTTCTATTCAAACAATTGGTTGGGTTAATATTTTAGACTTAAATTTAATTTTTTTTTACTTGATGAAACAAATATGGGTTAATAAGAAATGAGAATGAGACGATATAAAAAAATTAATTGATTTTAAGCTAGACTAATAGATATGTTTTACATATATTTATACTTAAACATATCATTTATGTAGAGAAGCTATCACCTCATGTGAGTAGATCCTCTAAATCACCACAAAACATCATCGTACTGGATTTTTGGCCGTTGTAAGCAAGATTTAACCATCATACATTGTAATATACATACTAAGGTCTTTGACATGTAATTTGTAATTTTGATCAATATAGTGGCGCTTTAGTAAAACTAATTTGGGTTACACCTTCTTCATCATTATTATCCTACTTATAGTTACTTTCCACTCCTACACCTAGCCACTTCGATCATGGTTAACAACAGAGTTACATCCTCTATGCTAAAAGGTACCAGCGGTAGCAGTGATGTCGACGCTCTGGCGAAGATGCGTGCTGTCATGGACGAATTATGCTGCCATAACTTGACATGGGAGGATGATGTTCACAATATTAAACAACGACAGTAGGAGTCTAATCCACCATAGGAGATGGGAGTGTTGGACCCCATCCACTTTCATATGATATGTGGGGGGCGTTTGTCCCTGAGGGATTCAAACCTCCCTTTTTTGGCCAGGTTTGATGTGTGCATTAATTCCTACAAGCATGTCGCCTCTATCAACACGCATATGGCCATCATATAAGCATTTGACTCCCTAAAGTACAAGCTATTATCTGGCACTTTTAAGGATGTCGCTCTGCGATGGTATATGTTTATACATCGTGCCTCTATTGCCAGCTATTATGAGCTAACAAAGAAACTTGTGCATCGGTTCGGCGTCAAACGTCACAGGAAAATATCCACCACCAGCATGTTCAACATACGACAGGGTCCGCCAGAGTCGTTAAAGGACTACCTCTCCTGCTTAAATGAAACCATCATCAGGGTTGTCCCACTAAACTAAGAAATGTTTGTAAGACCGCTCCAAAATAGACTCAAGACTAGATCCTTCAACGAGTCTCGCCTAGAAGTCAGTGCTTTCGTTGGTGGGAGTAATCATCATAGCAAAATTTTACATAAAGGGCGAGGAAAGAAACGTCAAAAAGAAAGCACGTGATGTCAACGAGCATGTTCCTAAATTTGAGGGTTCATACCACCATAGGAAGAGTAATTATACCTCTCTCATAAAATACAATAAAGCGTTCAAGAGAACACGCAAGACAATTAAGAACTTCACATCCCTTAACACTCGTCGAGCATAGATTTGGGGCAAGGTTCTTCACTTGCACAATATCTATATATTGCTCGCTTCAAAGGCATGCATGATAGGTCATGAGCCAAGAAGATGGTGTAAGTTCCAAAAAAATAAAGGGGCACCTCATTAAAGATTGTTACCAATTCAAGAAAGAAATTGAGATACAAATCCATGAGGGTTACCTCAATAAATATGTGAAGGGATACTCCTCCCATGTATCAGAAAAATCTAACTCACGGGGGTGAGATGATGTAGGAAGCACCAGGCTTAACAAAGCAAAGGAAGCATCTGAGAGCGAGGGCAGTAAAGTCGTGCGTTACACGCTTAACACCATAGCATGAAGATTCTTTGGGGACAGGGAGACTAGCTCAATTATAAAAGGTACGCTCGCAAAATCCTAAATATAGAAGACCTCACAAACTTCGAGGGTGAAGGAGAAGCCCAAGCGCCAAAAGCCATGATCGCTTTCTTTGAGAAAGATGCAGTTGGAATCTACCCTTACAATGATGACTCCATGGTCATTGTTGTCAGATGTGATGAATGAAGGATCAAAATAGTCCTCATAAAATAAGTAAATTCTACAGATAATTTGTATCGGGAGGTGTTTGAAAGACTTCGCTTTAACTCATAGGAATTAAAACCCTTAAAGGGTTCGGTGGTTAGATTTTTTGGGGAGCATGTAAAAGTAAAGGGATACATCACGTTGAATACCACTTTTTGATATCAAGAGTCGGCCAAAGAGATAAAGATCAAGTATTTAGCAATTGACGCCCCTTCTTCTTACAATATGATAATTGGGCGACCGAATTTCAACCAATTGATGTCGCCTTATCTACTTTCTATTTATGCATGAAGTACGCATTCCTAGATGGACAAGTGGGAGTTATCCAAGGGAATCAAGAGATCGTCAAAAAATGTTATGTGGAGAGCCTTAAACTGAAAAGGGTCCATACTTTGGGCATAAAAGCTATGAAATTGGGATAAAGAATAAAGCCACCAAGAGGAACCTACAAAGGCGGGAAAGACTCCCCTCTAACTAGTGAATAGATCAAAGATTAAAGATTCATAAGGGATACCTTTGTAGCCACATGCATTACTATCGTGTATTGGCTTTTCTTTAGTATTATTTAGCTATTTTGTTATTGATTTCTATGGGTGGGTGTTACATCTTTGTCGATTGTAAGGACAAGTTATTGTGTGGGGTGAACTATTTTCCCTTTGTACTTTTCATAGGGTATGGATTTTTAATGAGGCACCTCGCTCTATTATCTTAGAAAAATTGTGTTTGTTGGATATTCCTTTCTTTGCAGAAAACCTAAAATCACATGAGAAGATTGCCCTATAAGGCGATCAAAATATCAGATCCATAAGCGGGATCCATGTCGCCCATAAAGGTGATCAAGATGTTGGATCCATAAATGGGATCATTGCTTCCCCTAAACCCTAGACCCTAAACCCTAAACCCTAAACCTTAAACCTTCCCTGTGGGCAGAAGAGTTCATCAGCAAGGCCAAAATAGATATCTTTGATGGAGTCTGCAACAATTGATCTACGGTCCTATAATCGCTCATCTTGATAATCTTCAATATATCATCCATATATTTTTCCAAAGTAGTACCACTAGATTCCCCCACTTCTTTCTTGGGTTCAACACTTTCAATAACCTTTTTATCAACATTAACACTCCCTCAAGTGACAGGTGTGAAAACACGACCACTGCGGGTCACTCGACTAGCTTCAACAATATTCTTGACATCAGACAAAGGTTGGATGGTAACTTCTACACCATCCTCCAAGATTGTAGCATTGTATTTATATGGTACGGCTTTGTCTGATTCGTAAGGAACAGGCCCTGGTAAGCAAATCACCAACGGAGAAACAACAGGCTTGCTATGATATTCAATCTCAATATGGGTGAGAACACCGAAACAAGGACCAATAACATCCACTCCCTCTTCATAATACTTTAACATCACAGAATCATTGCTGAAAAACACTTCTTCACCTGAGGAAAAGAATTCATCTGCAAAAGCATACTCATCATCTGACACAGTTTCATCCAAGCAACCTTCAATCACATTAATCTCATTGTAATCATCTTTATTGCCTGAAATTTTGATAGTACCATTGCCTAATAACAACTTAATACCCTTTTTCATAATGGAACAACCACGAGAATCTCTGCAGTAGACTCGGCAAGACCCATAATGGTGTTCTTCTTGACCATCCATGTGACAAAAGGTAGTGTGCAACTGCACCAAATCATCATTCATATGATTCACGTCAAAAATCCGAAATTCTATGGGACATCCGTAGACCATATTCGCATCTACCTTGTACTATACCCTAGGCCTAATTATATGAATGAGGCCTTCGTCCATCATTTCCTGAAGATCAACCTTTATCTTATCACACCCTTGTATATATGTACTGCAAATACCACAACCAGCATGGTCATGCGTATAATAACTAAGCTCGTAGAGGTCAACATGCATTTTTACCAAATATCCTCTAACTAGGTTGATATCAAAAATCTGGAAGTCCCCTAGACAACCAGCAACCATGTTTATAGCATTTGCTCCTCCATGCTTTGGTAAAGGATTATCTTTCACATTAGGGTCAACATCTTTAAAGGACAATAGGCCAGATCTCACCATCTTTTGTACTTCAGATTTCAAAGGATGGCAATTCTCAATATTGTTCCCCGGTACTCCCTGATGGAAAGTGTTGTACCCCAAAATTTTCCCTCTCATTTTATTCAAAGCACACTCCTAGAGGTCCCCAAGTGCTCAAGGTTAACCAAGAATTGACCAAACAAATTCTCCTCTTAAGCAACAGATTTCCAACTAGGGTTTCATTTTTCACAAAGAAGGTTGGGTTTCAAAGGCCTCAAGTGATTTCCATGGTTCCTAACATGTCCTCAAGAATGCTCATGCCAATTTTCATGCCTTGCATTACAAGTTTGCTCAATCAATTGCTCAAATGACTGAAAATCAACTATATTAGGTCAAAAGTCAAATGTGGCTAATATACAGTCAAACTTCAAAAATTTTGGTCAACATCAACATTTTGAAGTGATATACATCATTTGATCAAAGGTTGACCATGATTCCTCAAGGAATGCTCTCAAATCATCAAGAATCAAAACTTGTTAAATTAGGGTTTCCTAAAGAAAGTCAACTGAATTTTGACCAGGCATAACTTTCACATGCTTCATCCATTTTGCCCCAACCAAAGCTCATTGTGAAGAAAATTCAATTCTATACAACTTTTCTTTTGTCCCCAAGTTCAAAAAATGCATCGTTGGAAGGATATGAGCCAATAC